CACGCCACGCCATGACAGCACGCCCGCGCTGCGCGGCCTCCGCCCGATCGGCAAAGCCAGCCGCCGCCAGCAAGGCAGCAATGCAGGGCGGCCCTGCGCCGAAGGCCACCTGTTCCGGGGCCGCCTCCGCCGCGGCGCCCGCGACCCCAACGGGCCTCATGCCCACAGCGCCCGGCTGCGGCACTGGCGGCTGACTGGGGCCAACTGCGGCCGCAGCTGCGCGCTCAGGCGGCGCAGAGGCGCCACCCCGGCCAAGGCTGGACTGCCCGCGCCCAAGCGCCGTAGCCCAGCGTGCCCTCGCTTCCACAGAAGGCGCAGCCAGCGAACCGATGGGCACCTTCGCGTAGCCCTTGTCCGATGACGGGAGCCGGCCCTGCATAATGTCGCTCCTGGCTTGCAGCCGCGAGCCTTTCAAAACCGTCTCAGGGTGACAATCTTTCTTGAGGCCACGTGCCATGCCAGGCGCACGCGCAAACAAGGAGCAACTGGTGCAAACCATCACCTCGCCCGGGCTATTCTCCAAGGGGGCCACCATCAGCTGGTGGCCGTTGACCCTCCACGGACTGGCAGCACCAGCCGCCGCAAGACCAAAAAGAGTCTGCGCCAGAGGCTGCACCGCCGCCGCCGCCGGGCTGCTGCTAGCTGCCGCGCTGGCAGCCGCCGCGCCAGCCTCCTCCTCGGCAGCCCTCTGGATGGCAAGCTGCAGCGAAGGGATGGGCTCCAGCTCCACCGTGCTCAGCTGCTGGAGGCCGCGAGTGTCCCGCAAACTGTGCTCGGACAGGTACTGGCAGACCTGGGCTGAGCAGCGTGCCACCTCCTTGATCTGGTCGCAATAGCCCTCCAGGAGCTCCACGTCGCAGATAGAGCCCGCACCAAGTGCAGCCCCACGCTTCGCGAGCAGGTCCGCCCGCCTGTTGCCATCGAGCTGCCGCGAGGTCAGGAGGCCTTCGCGAACGTGCTTCTCGCTGCAGTGGGCTGGCACCTTCACCACGGCGACCTCCGAGAGAGCCTCCAACGTGGGGCTCCAGAGGTGAGCCTTCGGCGACTGCGGACCAGCAGCCTTGGCGGGGCACTGGGCAGCACGCGCGGTGTTTTGGCAGTCGATGTTGAGGGTGTATTGGCCTGCCATGTGCGCGGCAGCCATTAACACCGCATAATCCTCGCCATCCCGGGCCGTCTGGTTGACCCCTTCGGCCGGCGGCACTGCGCCCCAGGCCTCCGCCACCTTGCGGCCCTCGGCAACGCACACGACAACGGCCCACCCAGCCGTTCGCAGCCGGGGGCGCCGGCCGTGGAGACACGAGCCGTCGGTGAATACCTGCCAGCCGGCGCCAGCGACGAGCCCCTCTGCAGGCCAGCCTGCCAGGTTCCAGTCCCACTGCGGCTGCCAGGGAGGGCGCTCCAGCAGATCGGCCAACTCGGCAAACAGCCCCCTCGCAAAGAGCTCAGAGAACGGCTCACCGAGGCGCTTCACCCTGCTCGCAGCCAGCAGCACCGCCGGGGAGGCCAAATCCCTGCGAACACCAGCCAAGGCATCGCAGCCACAGCAACGATGGTGGAGAGTGCCATCAGCGCTTCCACACAGCGCGCACAGCGGCGACAGGCCGGGTTGCTGCGTCCTGCTGAGGCGGGCCTGGGACCACTCAGAGCGGTTGAGCAGCCTGCGCATAACGTTCTTGTGGCGCTGGCTCCAGCAAGGGGTAGCCTTCTCCCACTGGAGCTCTTGCAGGGGCCGCCAGGCTGGAGGGAGACGCCATGTCCAGTGCTCCGAGCTGCCGTTGATGGCATCGGCCATTCCTACTTGCCGCCTGGCCGCCTCCCGTGCCAGCTGCGCAAAGAAGGCAGGCGAGTAGCGCAAGACGGAGTAGGTGGCGCCATGCTCCGTGACAATACAATCGGCATCGCCCCCCAAGAAATGCAAATTAAAACGCCCCATCGTCAGCACCAGTGCTGGTATCGGGTCTTTCCCGCTGTGCCGCGGAGACTTTCTGGCCTGCGTGGCAAGGGCCGACTGAAGACAAGCGGAAGCCACCGTCGAAGTAAGCTGGCCTGACCAGCGCATCTGGACGTACGCCTGCACCGCCTGGCCCGCCAAGATGACCGCAGGGTCCTGGCGCCAACCGGCTCGATGGGCCTGAAGGCCGAGGTCCAACGATGAACCATTGCCGCACTTGCCAGCAGCCTTGGCCGCAACCACCCGCAACGCGTGTAGTCGCCCGTCTGGTACTCCGGCCACCGCGGCCCCCCAGAGCGCTTTCGCGCTGGGGCCCGCTCGTTGAACCCGCGCCTGCCTGACACCCGCACCGAAGATACGCGCGAGCTTGGCAGCCTGCCGCAGGGGCGCACTCTCGCGGGCAATCTGGGTAGCCGCACTCCTGCAGCTGCCGGGCGTGGAACCCCCGCCGAGCTCCCGATGGGCAACAACGAACTTATCGGACGAAATCGGCCAGGAAGGTTGCTCCAATAAGGCATCGCGCATCGCAGCCGAGGACGCGAGCACCCTGGTCTTGGACCAATTGAGGGGCAAGCCGTCCCGCCTGAGGCCCGCCACAAATGCAGCTGTGAACTTGCCTAGCTGTCTGGCGTTCGTGGTTGGGCCTCCAACGGCGTGGCACGACGCGTCGTCAATCACATTGGCCGCACGCCCGATTGGAAGCACCGACGCGGCATCCTTCAGCGACGCGAGCACGCCCAGCTTCGCCAGCGCCGTCGCGCACGAACACCCGGCAAGAATGGTCCCATTCGGCAAGTGCACGTCGCTGATGGCAGGGCCGAGGCGGGCCCGCCTGGCAACGAGGTGCTGTACGCACAGCGCTTGGAGTAATCCAACATCGAATCCAATATGAAGCGCTGCTTCACGAAGGCGGTCGTGAGACACGTGCTCGTAAAATTTGGATATATCGAAATACACCGATGCACTATCCATCCCGCGGAGACGGGCATGGTGGACAAGAGCGTTGTGGAGGTACGCTGCTGCGTCGCAGCATGAGTTGGAGTCCCCCCCCCAAAAAAAAAAAAAACATGTCGCAAGCGACGAGCTTCTCCCACTTCTTACAGTAGGCCTGGCGGATCCTGCCCCAAATCCGGCCCCGCAGCGAAAGCAGGCCTAGCGGGCGGCGGCCTCCCTCAGGCCGAGAGATGAAGATGTTGAGGACGAGGGGGAGGCCGAAGCTGGTCGGCGCCCTCTCCCAGGCCGTCAATATGGCAGCGAACCTGTCCTAGAAGCCTTCACCCAGCTGCAACATGAGCTTCGGGTGGAATGAATCCCAACCGAGACCTGTAGCAGGTGGGAACCGCTCGATGGCATCCTTGGCCATGTCCCCAGTGATGCCCCCAAGCTCCCAAGATGCAGTCTACTGGCTTGGGTCCGAATCGCCGGTCCGAACCTGAGAGGCCCAGAGCGGGGGCCACCCTTTGAGTACCGACTCCAGAGCCTCCTGGCCTACCAAGGCTTGCGGGCAGACGGCGCTGTCATCAAGCTCCGGGGCAACTTCGCCAGGGCTTGCCCGGATGACAGCGTGAGCGCCGCGGGCCCCGCCTGCCAGCGCCTCCTGGACAAAGTCACGCCGACGCCGCTTGCTGGCCTTCGCGTCCTCCTTCATGAGCGCCACTCGCTTGGCCTCAATAGCTGCGAGCATCCATTCGCCTTGCGATGTCTGCCGCCGAAGCTGCTCTATGAGCACCGCCAGCTGCCCGCCATCAAGGAGCACGTGGCCAAGCCCGTGAATGTCGTGCCGGACATCGGCAAGCTTCCCACACAATACTGCAATGTAGTGGTCTCGCTTGTGGGTGCTGTACAACCCGCTCTGCGCCCAGAGGGCCCTGCCCAGCTTGCCGAGCGACCACCAAGCCTGCGTAGCAGGGCTGAGGCGCGACTTCTGCTGGCGCTGATGATGCGCAAGCGCCGGCACTCGGACTCGCCTGGAGCCGCGGCTCCGTGAGCCCGAAGCGGGGATGTCGCGGCCATTGCGCACGCATAACACCGCCTCAGCTCTGTCGAACCACTCCTTGGCAGCCGCCTCCGTCGAGCCGCCGATGTCCAGAGAGACAGCCCAATGCACCTGTTGAGCGAGAACCTGGCTGCGCTCAACATCAGCATCATCCCACTCGGCCTTCAGCGGGAAGGTGAGCAGAGGCCGCTGGACCATGATGTAGGGGGTCCTGGCCAAGTCCGAGAAGCGCAATATCGAAACATCGTGTGGCGTAATTGTAGAGCCGGGCAGGACCTCCACCGAGAACCGCAAAGAAGCCAGAGAAGACGAAACCACAAAGTAATCGAAAAATCGCTTACCGACGTGGGAACATCAGGGGCAATCAGACTGGCCCCTAAGGCCGCGACCCACTGCGACTCGAGAAGGTCCGGGGGCTCAAGATTCCGATCGCCTCCTATGACATACGGCAGCGGCTGCTGCAGCAACCACTCCAACAAGTCCGTGAGTATCTCAAGGTTGCCGTCGACAACGCCGATTGTGTGCTCCAAATAAATGGAAACCACCATCAGAGGGAGGCCGTTGCAGACATTCACCTGGCGGGCAATAGCCCGGGGTGACGGACCTGGCGGCTCCACAGGCGGTTGCTGCATCCCGAACGCCTTGTCGACCAATAGGCCGACGCCAGACGAGACCGCCTGCGCAGAAGGGCCCGTTGACGCCACCTTGCTGAAGGCCCCCTGCCAACCACCCCGCGCGGCGTAGGAGAAGGCAAAGGACACGGCATCCCGGTTGGTAAACCTGGTCTCCTGGATCATCGCGATGTGGGGCCGCCGGCCCTTGTCCGACAGCCACTCGAGGGCGTCCTTGCTGGCGGCCCAGGTCGAACCGTTGATTGTGGCCAGCTCGAAGTCCTGCGCCCAACCATGGCTGGGGCGAGGATTTCCTCCGCCCTCGCGGCCAGGCGGCGGCCTGGGCGCAAGCGACGCCCCAGCCTCGCAATCGCCACAGCCGGGGAGGGCCTCCGACAGCGGCGGCGGCGGCAAAACATCTGCCAGGCGGAGCTCTTGCCTCGCAGCGGCAGGGCACTGCAGCCCTGGCCCTTCACACGCACTCCTTGGGCCGCTCACGTGGCTAGGAGCGCGGCCATCATGCTGAGCCTGGCCCAGCGCCGGCCAGAGGGCCCCCGTGGCAACAGCGTCACCCCTGCCGCTGCCGCTTGGCAACCGACTGAAGAAGCTGTGCAAGCCGCCTGGCCTGCTCCTTTCCGTCCACGGTGGTGGTATCGATGCCGGCCTTCTGGAACTCCGCGGCGAGGTCGGGATCTGGCGACCCCCAGTCGACGCCCATGTCGTCGGCACCTGCAGTGACGCCGCCAGCAGCAGGAGCAGCTGCGGTGCCAAGGGGCCGCAGCCGCGGCAGGAGCCGCAGCCCCGACAGCCGAAGCCTCGGCAGTAGCCGCAGCTTCGGCAGCAGCTTGCTTCTTGAGCTCCTCGGCCTTCGCGCGGATCTTGTTAGCCCAGCCCGTGGAGACGCTGGTGTCCCCAAGGTCACACCCGAGCTTGGCAGCAGTCTCGAAGAGTGCCGCCAACTGGGTGGAGATCTGGTCCAACGTCTCCCCCTGGCTAGCTGAAGACTGCGCCTCCTTGGGAGGGTTGCTCCCGAGGCCCGCATTCTTGAGCTGCGCCGCATGGATAGCCGACTCCATCTTGGCGAGCTCCCCCCGGTGCTTCTGCAGGGCGCCCTCCTCAGCAGCCAGGGCCTCCCGGGCAGCATTGAACGCCTCCTGGGCAGCAGCGACCCGCTCCTCAGCCTTATCAATCTGGCCTTTCTTGCGGCCCTTGCGCTGGAGCAGGTTGGCGAGCGAGCACGTGGAGTAGTCCACCGGCTTGCGCTCCTCCTCCTGCGGCTGCGGCTGAGACTGCGGCCCCACGATGGAGAGAAGCTCCGCTTGCCCCTTGCCCCCCTCGATGGCCGCCTTGAGCTTGGCAAGGACCTCAGCGTCACCCTCGTCCTTCCCCTGGCTGGACTTGTCGCCTCGCGGGGCATCCCTGCCCTTGACGACCTTGTCACCGCGGGCCCCGGCCTTCCCAGGACCGCTGGCCCACCGGCCGCTCGCCGGCGGGACCTGCCACGGCCGGGGGATATTCTCAGCGCCCCGTTGTTTTTGCAAGACCTTTTTGGGGGCCCGCCGATTGCACTTGTAGCACGCCGCCCGGCAAAACCAGTTCTCGAACCCGCACGCGCACGTCCACTTGGGCTCACGTTGGCCATGAGGAGCAGCTTGCGGCGGCATCCGAGAAAGCTGAAGGGCGGTTTGGCCCCCTCCCACGGAGCCGTGTTGAAGCGTCGTGAGAGGAAGGCTCAAAGTGCAACCTGATGCACAGTTTGAACCCAACACGGCTGCGGTGTGGGCATTTGTTTTACTCTTCGAGCGGGCGCGAGCCCCCGCGTGGGCATGCCACAAATTCTCAGCGGGCCGCAGGCCCGCGCAAACGGCGCGGGACTGCCGAGGGCCCCACGGCGGCCGAGGGGGCGCTCACCAGCGTCGGCCCCGCCTCCTCGCCGCTCGCGGGGCCGCCTCGCCGCGCTCCAGCGCGCGGCCACGCTCCCCGCGCACCTGGGCTGCCTCTCGCCCACGGGCGCGTGCGTCGTCCGCCGACGCGAAGCCGTGCGCACGGAGGACGCCCTCCAGGTCGGGCACGGAGAGCTCCTGCCCGCCTGCGCGCACCGCGGGCTGCACCGCCGCCGCGCCCACGGCCGCCGAGGCGCTCGCCGATGCCGCCGCCGCACCGTCCGCAGGCCCCGCCGCGCCAGCAGCACGCCCCGCCGCAGGCTGCGCAGCCGCAGGCCTTGGCGAGCCTCCTGGGCCGCCAGCCCGCGCCGCCGCCAGGAACTCGCCCACCTGGGGGTTGGGCCAGTCGAGGTCGTCCACCTTGAGTGACCTTCGCCATCGCTGCATCTCCTCCATCGTCGGCGACTTGAGCATCACGATCGGGGGCTTCTCCTTGCCTGGCAATCGCAATCTGCCGAAGTCAGTCCTGGCCTGAGCACGCGACCCTTGGCTCGATCTGCGATCGCCACCGACGCGCGGCTTGGCCAGGCCCCTGTGCGCATACCGCGGCTGGTGGCAGTACATGAAGTAGCTCGTGCACACCAGGATGGCCTAGCTCGGCTTGCTCACCACGCTGGTCTGCATAATGTTGTGACCGTGCGCGACCCATGGCTCTGGCCCAGCCGTGGGGGCAGGTGACGGGCGCTGTTCCTCTGGCTGGGTGTGCTGAGAGGACTCTGCTGCCGACCTGGACTCCGCCCTGCGCCGAACCTCTCTGGCAAACACCTCGCTCGCTGCCTCAGCGCGCTGATTGCCCCCCTGGCCTGGCCCCACAGCGATGGGGGCGGCTGGGGCGGAGGCGGCCCTCAGCGCAGCCGCTGGGCGCTTTCGAGTAGACCCGGCTGCGCCGCCCGAGGCGCCTGCCGCAGCGCCTGTGGCCGCTGCGCTGGTCGCTGCCGCCGCGGCGAAGGCTGCCGCTGACACAGCTGCCGAGCCTCTGCCACGCTGCGCCGTGGAGGCGTCCAGCAAGTCGTAGTCCGCGTACTCGCCCGACAGGTTCCACGGGTAGAGGTACGGCTGGAGGTTGACGTTGTCCAGGGCTTCCGTCGGCCAGCAGTCACGCATCCCAGAATCCGTGATGAAGACCTCGATCTCTGCGGCGAAGCGGGCTGCGTCGCGAGCCCTGGCTAAGCAGCCCTCCAGGAGCTGGACATCGTCGGCTGGAAGGGCGTGGAGGGCGGCCCCTTCCTTCGCTCGCTTGTCGGCTAGGCGGTTGCCGAAGAGCTCGATAGCCGATAGCTCCCCTCTGGCCACAACTGCTTCTGACCGATGTGCAGGAATGTGCTTGACTTCAACACCTTCCGCGGCGTCCCCAACTCTGGCCCAAGGATGGGCGTAGGTCGAAGTTGGGCCCTGAGCTCTGCCAAGGTTGAGCACCGCGTCCACTGTGCCCTTGCAGTCGATCAGCAGCTGGTAATTGCCAATGACCTCCGTGAGCGCCACCACCGCTGCGCAGTCTTCTCCAGCACGTGCCGTCTGCGATGGGCATAGACTAGGGGGAACAGCTCCCCACGCCTCTGCTAGGATCGCCCCTTCCTTGGACAGAACGACGACCGACCAGCCAGCGCTGCGCAGGCGCGGAAAGTCACCGAGGATACAGGAGCCGTCTGTGAACACCATTGCGCCGTCTTCGACAACAACTGCTTCATGCCATCCATGCGAGAGCCGCTCCCATTGAGGCTGCCAGCACGGGCGGTGCAACAGCTGGGAAGGATCCACGAACAGGCCCTGGCAGAACAGCTCATCGAACGGCGGGCCCATCTCGTGGACGACCCAAGCTGCACGCTTCAGGTCGGGCGGCAGCCTGTCGCGCCGCCAAGGTTCCCAAGCTGGGCAAACGTGGTGCCTGTGGAACATCGTTCCTCGTGCAGCCTGGCATAGCTTGCACATCGGGTCGATGTCCGCGGAGTGCCTCGCAAGACGGTCCTGGGGCCAGTGCGAGAGCGAGACGAGCCAGCGGAGGCACCCTTTGTGGTGCCCGGACCAGGTCTCCGTCTCCTTCTTGCCAAGCAGCTCGTTGACAGGCCTCCACTGTGGCGGTCGCTTCCATGGCCAGAGCGATCCAGGACGATCTCGAGCCTCCTCCATCGCGGCCGCTTTCCTCGTGGCCTCCCTGGCCCACTCCGCCAGGAAAGCGGGCGAGAAATGCAGCACCTCGAACTCCCTCTTGTCCTCGTCCAGCAGCTTGGTGCCGTCGACGGTGAGCTGCCAGCCTATCCTTTGCAGAGTGAGCGTGAGCGCCGCTATCGGCTGACGGACCGAGCTCCAAGGCCGCTGCTTGCTTAGCACCTGCTGACTTTCATGGATGCACGCTTGGATGGCTGCAGCAGAGGCTTGCCCATACCACACCACGTTGACGAATGCCTGCACTGCCATCCCCGTTGCGACCACCAGCGGGTCCTGCCGCCAGCCTCGGGGCGCACACTGCAGGGCAAAACTGAAGGCCGCTCCAGGCGGCAGGCGACCCGCGCTCTTCGCCGCGGCCACCCTCAGAGCCCTCATACGCCCAGATGGGACTCCAGCGATGGCCGAGCCCCAGAGCGCCTTGGCGGTCGGCCCAGCTCGCATTACCCGAGCTTGCCGCAGCCCAGGCCCGAAGATGCGTGTCAGTCTCGCTGCCTGACGGAGTGCATCCAGCTCTCGCTTGACCTGCGTCGCCACCATACGGTGACCACCAGCCGTCGCGTCGCCACCGAGATCTCGGTGTCCTTGAGCAAAGGCGTCCCTGTCCAGCGGCCACCCCTCCTGCTTCATCAGTTCGCGCTGGGTGTCCACTACGCGGTGTGGGCATTGGACAAGGAAACCTTCGGTAAGGAATCCAGGGTCTAGAGGCCAATGGAAAGCCAATCGTGGATCGGCCATGGATATCGCCGCCGCCTTCATTGGATAAGGAATCCTCCAGGGTCTGGCGCATCCTGGCACTATTCCTTAACAAACGCCTCCACCGTATCTATCCTGCCTTTTCCGTCCCGTCATCCAGCTTCTATTCCTCATTCTCTTCTCCCTCCCTCCCTGCCACCCTCCCTTCCCGTCCCTTCCCTCCCTCGTGAACCTGCCTGCTTTGAGCGCTTCTGCGTTCCCCCCCTCGCTGCCACCGAAGTGCTGCGGCAGTTGCTGCAGCACGCAGCCGAAAGAGACCCAAGAAAGGAGGACGGCAGCAAGGACAACGGCGATGGCCGCCGAACGCGACAGCGACCAGATGGCCGATTGCGACCGCGGCGTACGGTGGCGGGGATGCCGGGGCACAGGGAAAGGACCGAGAGGATGAGAGAAGTGTGGCCAACGAGGGTGCCCGACCTGGATGCACAAGCCCCGCAGAATCTGCATCATTCGCAGGAAGAAGATGACGCAGTTGGGCCAGTCCTCCAAAAAATCCGCCGGCCAGGGGCCAGGGCGTGAGCGGACGTCGCGCCCGCTCGCCGCTGCGCCCGCGCGCCACGGCCGACGCAACGGGGTC